GTTCCCATCTTCCTGGCCTCATTCTCTCTTGAGAGTTCCTGATCCACTCCTGACTCATCTGCTGAGATGCCTCACTCTAATCAGGGGTCTTCCATCCCTAGGTGATCCCAGACCTCTTGGGGGACCAAGGCTTGGATCTGACCAGTGGGCTGTGTTTGGGGGCTATGTGTACTTAGGACCAGAGCACTCTGTGAGGGAGTGGGGACTATTAGGAGCAGTCTCTGCTGGGTCCCTGAGTCTTCAGAATGAAAGTATTTAGGGTCCTGAGGGAGGCATCACCACTGTGGTGGGCACTACACAAGCTTCTTTTTCCAGGGTTCTTCTGGGCCATGACCCCGGGGCTTCTTGAGAGTCTTAGGTCACCGCCATCAAGGTAAGTTCTGATGCCTAAGAGTGGCAGTAACTCCTCCCCCTGGAGCAGCTGGGCCTGGGGTCAGGTAGCAGCTCCCCTGGCCACCAACACATCCTCACTTTTAACTATGACAAGACATCTAGCTTCAGCCCAGAGGACACCAAATTCCCTCCAACAAATGCTTTATTTAATACCATAGAAATTACAAAGCTGCTATTTCCCTCCTCACTCTGGTTTCCAGGGAGCTCAAAGTTTATCTTTGGCAAGTGTCTGGAGCTTCCTGGCAGATCTTTGTGTGAGTTTCCTTGGGCTTCCTCCTATTCCTCTTATATCTCTGAACCTGCTGTTGGGGGGAAAGTCCAAGTAGGTCCCAAATTTAAGAGCTCGTGAAGTCATCAGTGCTAGAGTGTCCTGAGCAGCCCAGCTTTCAGGAGTGAGAGGGAGCAGCAAGTGTGGACAGGAGTCTGGACTCAAAGCAGGATTTCCAGGCTGAGGAAAGAGAGGACTCAGGAAAGACAGAGGGTCCTGACATGAGGGCAGAGAGAGTGGGCATATCTGGAGGCTCTAGCCATAGACAGCTCCACCCAGGAAGGAGATATAGAGTGGGAGGCTGGGGCATAATATGGAAGGAAAGAAAGGGGCTGGGAGAAGGCGGAGGCGCTGATGTCCTGATGTCCTGATGACCAGACTCCTCTGGTCCTGGCCTGTATTCCTGGAGAGACTTGAGCCTCTCCCTTGGTCTCTTTTTTCCACTGGGTGCCAGAATTCCCACCAATCCCCACTGAGAACCCAAGGAAAGTGCCTAATTAAATATGCGATAAGAAATAATGAGATGGAGCAGGTTTTGATTGGCAGTGAGGGTATTTATTGAGGGTTTCCAATAAATTCCATCTGCTTTCCAATTTATTGAGGGGAAGGGCTGGGATGACCTGGGTGGGAAGAGCAGGGGAGAGAGGGGAAGAAGAGACTCACCTAGAGTGGTCAGCAGGGTCCCACTGCCAAACACAATCTACTGTGACAGAGGCTCATACCAAAACTCCTGGCTGATACTCTCCATCCCCCACCTGCAGCTGTAAGGGAGGAAGCCAAGTTCTTCTCCCAGGTGGTGTCTGCTCAGCAGGGAGACCACAGGGCCCTGACCTTCATCCTGAGGATAAAAGGATGGGTGACAGCATCCTGTGACCCACAGCAGGATCCCTGGAATCCCAGGGCCCCTAAGGAAGTCAATGTTTGAATTGAGTTTTCCCATGGACCACCTGCCAGGAACAGGAATGGGTTCACTGGAGGGCATTTGCATCAGTAAGGAGTGAGTTTTTGAGGAAAAGAATAGTGGTTTCCTCCTGGCAGAGCTGGTACATGCATGGTCTCCTGGTGAGACTATGGGGTAACATCAGGATGTCCTCCACCTTGCAGGGAAGGGCAGGTTTCCCTGGAGCAAAGCTTCCTGGGAACTTCTCTAACACCTAGCCCCTGTCTTCACCGGTGTCAGTCCCACCTTCCCTACAGCTTTCCTACTTGTCATGGGCCTATGGGAAATGCCAGCCTCATCCTGCAGAGTATCCTGGGTAGCATCCTTTGTGCCCCTCCATCTAGTCTCATGCTTGGTGCATCAGGTGTGTGGTGGCTGCCTTTGCCTCTTTCCAATGGGACCTATTAGCAGCCTGTGTTCTCCAAACACCACTTCCTACTAGAGGGAAGCAGGGTCACTGGCTGGTCCCAGGCCTGGGGCAGGAAAGGGATGATGAGGTAGAACATTTTGTCATCTGAGAAATCTGGAGCCATTAAGGTCCCCTGGAATCTTGTGAGGCATTCCAGGAGCCACCAAAGAGGCTTCCAGTGGGCAAATGTCCATGTTCTGTCATCACCACATCACAGTGGATCCCACATGTCATGCGCCTGTAGGCTAGAGTTCACATGGCTCTGCTTTCAGCTGACACATTCTGCACAATGGCTGGGCACCAGAGCATAAGTTCATAAAGTGGTAAATGAAGGGAGGAATCTCATTCTTCTTTTATTCTAGACCATGAAACATACTTCTGGGTGAATAAATTGGAGCTGCAGGGCCTTCCATCCCAGACATAGCCCTGATGAGAAGGATCTGAACGGAGACATTGATCTTCCTGCTCATTGGAGGAGCAAAGTAAATGACCATCCAACTCAGCTCACGTCATGAAAACAATGATAACCCAACATGGTGCCTTTTGTGGAGAAAGCCAACTGTCCTAGGACACAGTTTTGTCACAAAGCCACACCGAACTCAGTCAATCCCTTCTGTGTAAGAATCACTTTGCACAGAACCCAAGAGAAGCCCTCAATTCCTCCTCGGGGAGGCCCAGGCTTTTTCCCGGCCGTGGCAAGGTCCTGGGACCAACTGATCAGCTCCTGTTGTGAAAGGAAATCAAAAAGTGATTTGGGAGAGATTCCTGCACACTGAAACAGGCCTACGGAACCGTCACTAATCACAATTTCTATTTAGTGAATCCTTATGTTAAGGAAATTAAAAATCACAAATGAATAGCACTACTAAAAAATAAGTAAAAAGGTACACAATAATATTTATAAGACACTTGATGAGACCCTGAAAAACTATTTCTTATATCAAGAAATTATTGATTCTTTCCATTTGAATTCATAATGACTTTTGCATTTGCTTTAAAATGTCATATGAGGAAGGGGTTATTCTCTTGTGGGTGGGTCAACAATATCTGAAAACTGGTTCATTTGTGGCCTGGGTGATGGGATCACTGGGGTCATTACTGCTCTTCTGGTTCCCTAGTTTAGTGTTCAGAGATCGTAAGGATGAAGGTGATAAAAACACGGAACAAAAGAAAAAGGAGTATTGAATCATGGGGCAGCCTCAGGGGGAAGGTAGGTGGACCGAGCACTGTGTTCAGCTGGGCCCGCCATGTGAGGCAGAACTGGGATCTCTCCTCTCCCTCATTTTCCCATCTATGAGGTGGTTCTGTGGGATACAGATACTCTTGGACCTCTAAAACTCAATGTAAATCAAGGCTTCGATTTGGGGAAGGGGTGGCTGAACTCAAGATCCTTTCTGTTTGCACCGCTGTGGATGAAGCACCCTGGCCTTGCAGTGCTGCTCCTGGCCTGGCCCTGTCCCTGGTGAGCTGGAGGCACCAATGGGGTACCACAGACTGATGAGGAGGGCTGAGAACTCCTCTTCCCAAGGCCCTGGAACCCACCATCAGGGTCCCTGGATGAGTTTGTCTGACATCAAGCTGCAGGTGCACATGATTAGGGGCTGAGCCATGGAGGGGGTCCTAGTGGGATGGGATGTCTGGGACAGCTAAGTCCTCATGCCGGTATCTCTCGAGACACACCCATCCCTGTCCTGACCCCTGTGGCCTACCTGACCTCCTCTGAACATGTCTCTGATGCACCTTCTTTGGGACAATCATTGCATGACCAGATTGTGCCTGTGTCAGAATCCTTTCTCCCTGAACCCAGAATAGCTGAGTCCTCCCCTTGAACTGGCTGCCCATTGCCAGCTCCAGCCATAACCAACCATCAAACTCTATCTGGAGGCCTGACTTTAGAAGGGGAAACTCTTTGGGGTTGTAATCAAAGCCCCATGCTAGTGTTAACCTTGAACTTTACCCTGATGCCATGCGCATATGAGCACACATCAACCACCCTGTGTGCCTCAGCCTCCCCTGCGTCACAGCACTAGTGTCATGAACCTTAATGGCTTGCACAACACTGTAGGGCTTCCTGCATTGGCTGGGAGAGCCAACAGGGTTCTGGACTTGTTAGGTTCTGTAACATTGTTTTCCTATCGCAGGACTTGTCAATGCCTTGGTTTGGCCACTCTGCAATGTGAAAGGCTGAGATATGCACCCTTGAGTTTCATTTTGCAGACCTTTGCAGGACTTGCTGGTGACAGCACTGCCATGGAATACTCACCTAATAAACACTCTCAAAATTGTTCCCTTGAACGGACAGGGATTGCCAAACTCTATTCCTGCTGAGAGGGACTTCTTCCTCCCTGTTTCTTTCTCCCTGTTTCTACCTCCAGCCAATTACTGGGATTCTTGGATCCTCTTCATTTGCCCCCATTCCCTTCACAGAGCCACCAGCCACTATTCTTTCCTTCTAACTGGGACCCTCTCCCTTGTGAGGTGGGTAATGACAGCATCCCAGAGACTGCTCTGCAGGGACAACTTCCTGCTCTGATCAAGGTTCCCATGACCACAGGGAGCTCACCCAGGTTGATGGTGGGTGTGGGGATCTCACTGGGTATTTTCAGCTCAGAGACATGAAGAGACACTAAAGGCATGTTGGGTGATGCTGACACAGGTGTTTATTTTAAAAAAAGGTAGAATCAGGGAGGGTGTGAGATTCTCCTAGTCTGAGCCACCTGAATTTTTCCCATCCACACTGAGAATTTGGAAGGTTGAAAATTATGTTTGAGATGAGAAATAATTACATGGAGCAGGGTTTCAGTGGAGATATTTATTGAGGGGTTATAAGGTGCATGGGGAAGGGCTGGGACAACCTGGGTTTGAGGGGAGACGCCCCACTCCCCAGGATCCTGTAGCTCCAGGTCCCTGTGGCTGGGTGGGGGCTGGGACCCTAAGCACATTCTACAGGGGCCACTGTCTTCTCCTCCATCTTGCCCTTGTGTGTGACCTGGCAGCTGAATGTGTTGCCACTTCTCCACTCGTCAGTTTGTCAGGCTCATGTAGCTACTGGCCGTGTACTTGCCCTTGCTCTGTTTCGAGGGCTGGGTGGTCCCCACACCCTGGGTGGCAGGGCTGCCATCTGCCTTCCAGGCCATGGAGACGGTTGGCAGGTAGAAGCCATTTATCAGACACACCAATGTAACCTTGTTGTCTTTGAGCTGATCAGGAGAGGGTGCAAAGAGACCGACGGTGGGAGTAGCCTTGGGCTGACCTGTGGGGTTGGACAGGGGTGGAGAGGGTGAGGGAGAGGGGTATCAGTTGCCTGTGTCCATCTGGGGTGTCACTGACCTCAGGGTATAAGCAGAGGTCTTGGGGCACAAAACCTTGGTCAGGGGATCTTGTTCAAAGGCAAGGTCCTCGGCAGGAGGGTAGCTCTGGGTGTTTGACCTATGCCTGCCCCATACCTGTCCTCTCTATTCAACTCCCTTTGACCAATGCCTGTACCCACCCACAAACCCAAGAGACAGAGGGCAGAATTTACTCTGCTGCTGTAAGCAAGTACCCATGGGGGCAAGAGTGACACCAGCAGACTGTGGGGGGACAGAAACCCAGTAAAAGTATAGCAGCACCATCTGCCCCTCTAGTCCCCCCAGGCCCTGACCTCATATAGAAGCCCCAGGTCACAGATCTGAGTGAAAGAGTCCTGAAGGACAGGGCCCAGAGTCTTACAGAGAGCTTGGCCTCCCTCTCAGACACTGAGCCTTTGCTATGGCCTTGGCTCCTTCTGACCTCCTGACAGTGCCTTCAAAGTTTAGCTGACCCCTCAGCCCATGAGGTGAGGTCTCAGACTCTCCTGTGGGGTCCACCTGGGGGGAAATTCCGATTCCTCTCTCTGAGGGACTCTAGGCCCTGTCCTGCAGTTGCCTTGTACCCAGACCTGTGTCCTGGGGCCTCTTTCTGGGGTCAGGGCCATAGGAAAGGAGCGGCATATGGTGCCTGTCTACTACTCCCGGTTTCTCTCCCTCCACTAGTGTCTTTGCTAGTGTCACCCCAACCCCACCGGTCCTTGGTCACAGCAGCAGTGTTCACACTGTGGACTCTTCCTTCTGTCTCTGGGGTTTATGGGTGGAGTAGCCTGAGTCTGAGGAGGCCCAGGGACCACCTTTCCCCAATATCCTCTGTCTTGATGACCTTCACCTGACCTCCTGTGCTCAGAGCCTTCTCCCCTCCTCCATCTGAAGATTTCCTGAGTTCCAGGCTGGCTCTGAGCTCTGCCTTGATAGCCCTGGGCCCTGGGTGCCTCCCACTTCCCACGTCTTTCTTATCTTTGAACCTGTGTCCCACAGACCAGGAGTCCCAGCCCTAAGCCTGGAACCTGTGTTCCCCAGCTTTCTCCCTGCAGGTTCTAGGTCCTTGTAATGTCTCCTTGGGGGTCACTCCCTCCATGTCCTTTGTCTCTTCTTCCCCCTGAAATGGGGCCCAAGTGGCCCCCACACAAAGCCGGTCTGACAGCCAGTTTGACAAGGGAGAAAGCATGACAAGTCCTAGGGACCCAAAAATGCCCTGAAACACTGAGACACAGACAGACAGAGAAACAGACCAAAAGAATGTTCCCCAGATATACAGTGACATTGAGTCACAGTTGGTCACACTGTCCTTTCCCCTGGTTCTCCCATCAGAGGGGAAGTGTGGAGGCATTGTGGGCTGTGAACAGGTAGAGTGGGGTCCTGACCCCAGAGCTGGGTCCAGAGAGAGAGTTTGCGCACAGCTTCGACACGATACACAGTAAACAGCAGAAAATTGTCCAAAACTTTGAGGAGAGGAGGGCAGGAAAGGGAGGAAGAGACTCACCTAGGACGGTCAGCCGGGTCCCTTCGCCGAAAATCCAACACTGTGTCACAGGCTCATCCAAAAACCCCTCCCTGGGAGTCCCACAGGCCCCACCTGCAGCTGAGGGGGAAGGTGGGCCACTGCCCCAGGGGCCATCTGCTCAGCAGGGGGACAGTATGACCTCCACCCTCACCCCACAGGTGACAAGACAGGTGACATCCTGTAACCAGAGGTATGCTCCCTGGAAACCCAGGATCCCTGAGGAAGTCGGTGTCTTGGATTGGCTTTTCCCAGGGGCCATGTGCCAGGAACAGGAATGACTGTGTTGGAGGCATTTGTGTCGCTTAAGAGTGACTACTTCTGGAAGAGGATGGGTGGCTTCTCCTCAGCAGACTTGACATATCTATCCCTGATCTGTGGTTGAGACAATGGGTAGCACAGGGGTGTCCTCCTCCACCCCAGGGAGTACGGGCTTCCTAGGAATGCAGTGTCCTGAGAACTTTCCTCTTGCCCCAGGCCTGAATCCAGGAGTAGCAGCCCTGCCATTCCCAGGGTTTTCCTGCTTGTCATGGGCCTATCCAGTAAGTCCTGGCTGATCCCTGTGGGAATTTCCAGCCTCGTCTTCCAGTTTAACCTTGCAGCACCCACTGGGTCCCCTCAATCTGGTCTCACACTGGGTGGGTTAAGTGTGAAGTGGTTGTCATTGCCTTGCTCCAATGGGACACATTACCGAGTGTCCCAACTAGGATCTCCCACATCTCCTGCCAACAGACAGGAGTGGGAATGAGACATGATGAGGTGGAACATGTCACCACAGAAAGCAGGAGCCGTGGACGTTGCCTGCAGTCATGAAAGTGGACCCAGGTGCCACCCCAAGAGGCTCCAGCTGGGCAGATGTGCAATTTTGGCTTCATTTTGTCACTAGCAGTGTGGCCACATGTCATCATCAATAAAATTTGATGACAGTGGATTCAGACACATTTATTTAACTCATGTATTGAGTTAGCACAACCGTCTTATTCAGAGTTCAACATGGCAGTGAGCATTACTGCTTGTTTACCCCGGGAGGCTGGCAGGGCACTGCCTCACCTCTGTGCAAGTGTTTCCTTCCTGGAGCATAACACACCAGTTTTTAATTACAGCCACAGCCCTCCCCACTTCACGGACACACTGCAGCCCCTATAAGAAGGGCATGACACGGAACATGGAGCCTCCTCACTCCTGCTCATCTGACCGATGATGCTAAATGAATGACAAGCCGGCCTGGGTGTCTGTGCTGAAAGCAGCCAGTCTCCCTAGGAAGAAGTTTCGCCTGTGTCCATCCTGAACCCTATTAAGCGTCTCCATGCAAGAACTTTTCAGGAAGAGCAGATGCAGACAGAGGCATTAGGTTCTAGCTCAAAGGGGCAAAGTCTGTCCCTGGTCTGGGAAGGACCTAGAAGCAGCTCTTAGCTCCAGCAGCTCCTGCCTTGCCAGGAAACTCTAGACCCATCTGGGAGATTCCAGAGGGTTACAGTGGGGCCTAAAAACACATGCACCCGTCACCCATTCAAACCTTCTTGAAGTCCCATACAGGTATAACTAAAGAAAGCCCCCAAAATATCATTTGTGAGGGATTTGTTGAGACCTCAATTACTTTTGGTATTAAGGAATGCCAGTGATTTTTGTGTGCATGTGATGATGTTTTATTTACTTGTAGGTCTATATCTCTCCAAGACAGACATGGGGTATCCATAGGTGAAAAGGTATGATGTGTGGAATTTGCATTTAAATGTCCAGTGAGGGAGGGGCTCTTCAAAAATGTCCAGTGAGGGAGGGGCTCTTCAGCTGTGGCCAGGTCAGAGTTGTCTCTGCATTGCTCCTTCGGTGAGTTGTGTGATCTGAACACACAGATCTTAGGTGGGGTCACTTTTATGCCTCCCTCTCCTTACTGTTGTTTTCAACATTCTCCACAGTATCAACCTTAACACACACAAAGGAGGCTGTCCTTGAGGCAGCCACTGGGAATGGGGGGACCCTGGCATCACACCCAGCAGGACTACAGATTTGGCACCCTGGAGTGTCGGTTATCACCTGTAGGAAATGAGCCCAGACTGGCGTAAGCCTCTTGCTAATCCATAGCCTGGGCTTGGTGTAGAAGTGGTGATGAAGGAGCACCAGGAGGTCCCCTTTCTCGGCCCTATTGTGACTCCAGAACTCTCTGAACTCACCCAGAATGAGAATGAGAAAAAGCACCAGCTCCACTACAGAGGGGGTGTCCATTGATTGTCCGGGGAGCCAAGAGGACACTCAGTCTTTGCAGATTCTGTCTTTGGCCTGTTCTGGAAGTAGAAACAGGGTGGCCTCTGGGGTCTCAGGGCACTGAGGACCTAGAGACATGGTGGGCACTGACCTTGCCTGCTGTCAGGAGCCCTGGGATGAGTCTATCTCTGACAGGAGTCAGGAGGTGCATGTGGGCAGGGGAGGCTGAGCCACAGTGAGCAAAGGAAGCAGTGGGGCCGGAAGGCAGGAGGGCTTGGAGGTGCTGAGTCCCCTTGGAAGCCTGACCTCAACTTAGCTCACAGCGCATACTACTCTGCCCTGGCCTAGTGTCACTCTGCCCAGCTCTTCCCAACTGCCACTCTGAGTGAGTCTCTTGGACAAGCAATAGGTGCTCATTCTGTGCTAAAGTTGGTGCCTTTTCTCATTTGCCCAATTATACCACGTCCTCCCCTGTTTCAGCCTGAATGTCCCCAGGTGACATGCACAAACCAACCATAAATGGAGCCCTTTGCCTGATTTAGTGATCCAGATTTCCCAGGATAGCGATTCCAGCTCCAGGCTAGTGGTAACCTTGAGCTTAGCCATGGCGCCACTCTAATCTCACCCCACACAGAACCCAACACTTATGCACATCAACTTCACCTCGTGTTCCCCAAACTGGCTCCAAGGAACACTGGAAGTTTTCGAAGTATTTTGGGTCCAAAGGTAGAAAAGGGGAAACATCACATCAAACTATTTTTGCTGCAGGACTTATCAGTGCACTTACCTAGCCGTTTAAGAGGGTGCAAGTCTAAGAAACACAGCTGTATGTGCTTTCTCCAAATTTTTTTTATAATTTCTTGGGGGTGGCATAAGTATGCCCCTTTCACGCATTAAATACTATCCTGAGTGATCTCCCTTGTGTCTGTTCCTGCTGAGTTGTGGCCTTGAGTCAGAGTGTCTTTCCCTATTGTCTCTGTCTCTACCCACAGCTGGGCTCTTGAGTTCCTCAGATATCCCCTGATGCCTCTCTCAGGGATCCCCCTGTTCCCCTTCCTTTCCAGGTGAGCAAGGACTGTGTCCCTGGATCATGTCAAGGAACAGTTTCTTGCCTGGGATCAAA